CGATTAACAGGGACGTAGGAGATGGATGGATGTGTAGATAAATGGATGGAGAGGTGGAGGGAGATGGATGGATGTGTGGGTGGAGAGATGGGGACACAGAAGAAAGATAGATGGATATGTGGGTGGACGGACAGACAGATCAGAGGTGGATGGACATGTGGATGAGAGATAAAGAAATGGGTGGATGCACACACGTATATATAAACGTATAGACAGTTCGATGATGGGAAGGGGGGCTTGATGGACAAATAAGGGTGGCAAAATGTTGCCCTTTGAGGAATAACTACATGAAAAGCATGTAGAAATTCTTTTTTTTCTTTTAATTTAAATTAGAAACAAGCTTCTTTTACATGTCAACCTCAGTTCCCTCTCCCTCCCCTCCTCCCCTGCCTCCCACCGACCCCCCATCCCAACCTCCTTCTGCTCCCCAGGGAGGGTAAGGCCTTCCATGGGGGGGGGAATCTTCAAAGTCTGTCATATCTTTTGGGCCTAGACCCTCCCCAGCTTGTGGAAATTCTTTGTGCTATTTTTGCCACTTTCTTTTAAGTCTGAAATAAAGTCAAAATAAATTCAAGCAAAACAAAGGCAATTTCCATAAACATCAGGAGTAGGAGGAACAAATGAAGCTGACCCTGCTCTGCTTGAGGGCAGGACCATGAAGGGGAGGGACCTTGCAAGTGGCATTCCAATGAAGAAAGTGATATTTCTGCAGTGAGATGTCCTCTTGGGGGAAAACCAGAATAATCTGACACGGACTGGCTCAGTGGTCCCGAGGTTGGCAGTGGCCTTGGCATTTTGTTTTCTTTTTGAGGCAGGCTCTCACTGTGTAGCTTTGGCTGGCCTCTAACTCACAGCCATTTAATCTGCTTCCTAAGAGCTAGCATTAACGGTTTGCACCACCACACTTGGGTATTTGTAGATTTGGGTGTTTGTTTTGACAGGGTTTAGCTCTATATCCTAGGATGGCCTCCAATTCTACAATCCTCCTGCCTATGCCTCCCGTGTGCTCCTAAGTGTGTGTGTACCACCCTGCCCAGCTAGTCCTGAGACCTGCATATATCACTGTGAGATGAAACAACTGTAAGGCTGGTGCTGCCTGCCTCTGAGAACCCGACTGTCATTAGGAGTTGATGACACAGTAAAGACCCATTGAGGTCCAAAAGACACCCAAGAGTCCTGGATGTCTGCTCCTACAGAGTTACCTGTCTGAACTCATACTGACCAAGCCCTGGTCACTGTAATGGTCAAGGCATGAGGACTGCCAGCTATAGTGACCACCCTGTAACCCTTGGTTGTCCTCCAAAGATTAGTTCCACTGAAAAGAACCAGAACTACCTCGAAAGATGGCTAATTCCAGCACTGGGATAGGAAGTGCTTGTGAGAGGCTTGAACAACTTGTCTCACTGTGAGCAGGCTAAGAAGCCAAGGGCTGAGGCATCTACAGCCAGAGGCAGGACTTTGAGCACATACACAGGTCATAACCCCATGATCACACTTTGTTCCTGATGACACAGTTCTAAAACACAGCAGACATAGGAAATCCATAGGACACTATTCACAGAGCCAAGGCTGGGGAGTTCCAGCCTTGGTAAGTTAGCCACATAGGGTGAAGGCAGTAATAGAGAGAGAAGGCACCGAACGACTGAGGAGACACACCAGCCATTCCCACCCACGGATCCTGATGAGTATCAATTCAGAGTTGTCAAAAAACCATGAGCCTATCGGGGAAATCCAAGCTCCAGCCGGTCTCTGATGCAATCAAAGAAAATCTGTCTGTTGTTCTACTTGCCATCTTGGTCTCTCAGCTTTTGTCATTAAAACATATTGAGCTATCTACTAAAATATTTACAGATGAAGCGATAGAGCGCTGGCTGAGCTTCACCCAACACACCCAGGGAGGGAGGGGTGAAAGCCAGCCTGGCTTAGAATCCGCTTCTGCAGAAGCAGGTGTGAGAGTCAACAGGCGCCTCCGACACACACATACTGCTCTGTTTCTGTGTATATTCAAAATCTTCCATAATAGAAAAGCTGCCCAGAGCTGCCCCCACACTGTCAGGGTAAATGCCACACCACACCTTAACAGTTAGCAAGAGTAGACGGGACAGCAACTTGGGCAACACTGAGAAAAGAACTGTGGGAACGATCCTAGGATGCCAACAACGCTGTTCTACAGTGGGATGGCCAAGCACACACTTCAGACATTTGTCCTCATGGTCCGTCACCCTTAGAGTCCCCCACTTCCTCATCCCCATGGGCTCTGGCTGGTTCCACACTATGCCTTCAAACTGTTCCACAGTAGGGTGAGGCTCAGGCAGCCCTACATCCTGTCTCTGGCTTGGACTTGCTCCATCACAGTGACCAGCTCTGGGCAAGCAGGACTGATGCTCTCTTCCTGTACTTGCTTCTCAATAGCCTCAGCTCCTGCAGAGTATCAGCTGTGAGAACACTGTCACGCATCAGGGCTACAAGCATGGCCTCCAGAGCTAACCAGACTGGCTTAAGTCCTTACTACTCCCGCCACATAGTAGGATGACTTAGTCATCTGTGCCTCAGTTTACCCACCTGTAAGAACAGGAGGACATGTAATAGAAAAACCAAACATAAGATGCTATTGGGTTGTGACTCCAAAAACTCTTGTTCTGCAAAAACCACCTCCTCCTTACTCCAAAGGTCAAAATCTGGCCAGCAGGAGCTATGAGGGGAAGGCCGGCTGATAACTGGGTCCCAAGAAGCTACCACAGCCCCAGTACGTAACAGAACTGTGAGGGGAAGGCCAGAAGGCAACTAGGTCCCAAGTTGCTCCTGAAGTCCCAGTAGGTAACAGAACAACTTTTTTCAGATTCCTCTGAGAAGCTCTGAAAATTCTGTGCTCAAGTCACTGAAATCAACTGATTTTTCATGGATAGGTCACTCCTTCCCCAGACTCCAGCTGCCCCCTCATCCTATCTGCAAAGCACAGGCTGGCTTTTGTGAGGCAACAGGCACATGTTCAGAGGGAAAGTTTCATGTATGGGGACATCCAAGTCCATGTCTATCCTGGTCCAAGTCTATCCCTCCACACACCTATGTTCATACATGCCTGTCCCCACCCACACCTGTGCTTACACACACCTGTCCCATGTCCATACCATAGCAACCCCGGCTTGACCCACTCGCAGTTGTGGCCCATCCCCCCATAAGTACTTTCTTGTACTCACGAAGAAAGTGCTTTTCCAGTAAGGCGATTTCCAGATGACCCTTGATCTCATTCAGCCGATCGAACTCTGTCCTGCTAAAGTCCTGGACGCCTGCTGCCATGATGAGGGTCCCTGGACCAGCCTGGAAGGGAAACACTAAGAGTTCAGAGGGCCATGCTAAAGCAGCCTTGCCTGACCCAGTTGTTCAGCGGTGGGGGGCAGAGCCTTGGGATGGAAACTGCAACCTCCTTTAGTGCAGACGGATCACAAGGAAAAGTATATTACGGTCAATATAATGGCTCTAGGGCTTCCAAGAGCATCTTCCTGAGCATATGGGACAAGGAAACAAGGGTTCTACAACTGTGTACCGGCACACCCACTTACCTCAGTATCTCAGACAGTGTGTATCTCCTCAGATCCGACATAAGTCTTAAGAAATAACACAAAAATCAAAACCCTATGTGAGGTCTGGGGGACACTGCTCAGTGGTTAAGGCACTTGCCACAAAATGAAAATCGGGGTTTGGAGCCCCAGAACTGACATAAATGCCAGGTAGGCATGGTAGCCTATTTGTAATTCCAGCCTCAGAAGGCAGAGAGGGAAACTCCAGAGCAGATGGGTTAGCAAGATTCACTATCATTGAGCTCTGGGTTTGATTGAGAGACCCTGCCTCAGTGAATAAAGCAGAAGAGCAAAGGAGGATGACCTCCAAACATGCACACATGTGCACATGCACTCACACACATACACCTACACATGCAAACACACACACACCACACATAACCACTCAAAAATGGAAAGGGGGGTTTAAAAAAACACTAAAGTGTTAAACTTCATTTCTGTTGTTTTGTTTTGGAGATGGTCTTATAATACAGTCCAGACTTGTCTCAGATTCATGATCCTCCTGCCTCAACCTCCTGAGTGTGTATCATCACGCACAGCTGGCACCAAGCCTCTTGATGATAGCAATATTGACTGTATGGTACTACAGAGGGAAAAGACACGGCACTGTCCTGGTCGGGATGCCTGGAGTAACTATGACCCAAACAGAGCAGTTACCTCTTAATGGAAGCCCAAGGGTGTCTATCCCACACTGAGTAGATCAGAAGGGAAAACAGCTTCCAAATGAGGCCTATGAGGAACCAAGAACACATTCCTTCCAGGTCCTTCCTGTTGGCTCCCCAGAGAGCAAATTCTACCACTGTCCTGTCCCAGAGGCTAAGGACTGACTCTAGTCACAGCCCCCATTGCCAATGCCATAGATGCTGAACGCAGGTATGCATCCTGCTGACCACAGGAAAAAGAAAGCAACCCCACCTGGCACTGTGCGGCTTCCCAAGCTATAGTGGGAACTCACGTGGTCACCTCCATAGCTGCACCCTGCTACTGACATGGCCAAATGGCACACAAGGGCCCTGCAAACGATAGAGGGGACCTGACCACCTTGCCTGGGCAAACCTCTCCTTGGCAACAGGACAGGTTCAGACAGGACAGCTAGAATAGCTCTGTAGGGGCCATAGCCCTACAGGAGCCATAGCCTGGGATGAAGGGGCTGGCAGACACTCTGCACAAAGCCTCCCAATCCATGGATACCCTGCCTGGGCACCTGGCCTGCACTTCCAGTGGTCTGTTTACCAGGTTTATGGGGCTATGGACCAGGTCCCTTGGTACAATGACATGTGAAAGCTTGAGATGGCAGAAGGCACAGTAACTTCTGCTGTATGGTCCACCCATGGGGCCCTATAGGTGTCATCCCCAGATCAATAATGGCAGATGAAATCCCGCTAAGAGGCATCTTTCTAGAAGAGTTAGGAGCTCATGAGTACCCCGTCACCCCAAAACCCTTGTCTAAGACAAGATAACCCCCAAAGAGGACATGCACCCCCACCTGTGTTCCAAGTCACATAGCAGTGGATCCCAAGAAAGCTTACCATCAGGTGGGAAACTAAATGAGCCCACGGCCCAGAAACACTAGGCAGACATCTGTCCAGAGGTGGTTCAGACCCAGTCAACTCCAAACTAAACATACTGAGTCAGAAGAGAGTCTATTGAGACTCACTTTGCAGTGACCTGTGTGCAGGACTCCATATATTCAGGCCATCAAACCTGTAGCCAAGCCCCAACATGGCTTTCTGTCTCCAGCCCTTAACAACTAGCTCCTGACACACCAAAGGCAGATGGGTACTCAGATGCCTGAAGTGGATGTCTGTGAAGGGACCTGGGAACTCACACAATCTCAAATGCAAACTTCAGAACACATGTGACGTGCTTAACTTTACCCAGCTCTGGGCGATACAGCCAGTGGTCCTGGCCGGCACCTAGTTCCTAACTCTGCGCCCTCTTGACTTCCACAGCTTCATCTCTTCCTGAGCAGGGGAGCATCTACATGCTCCTTCAGGGTTTCTACTCAGGCTGGTTCTAGCATGTGCACCCTCATTTCTTTGTCTCCATCTCTTTTCTTGTCTCTGCACCTTCTCTAAGGTCTCCTCATTCTTGGTGTGGTTGAGTCACACCTAGCCTCCCCACCCCCAGCACGTTAAGACAAGCCCTATCTTAGGAAGGAGGTCATCAATGCTGGATTGAAATGGGATCCAGCAGCCTAGGAGCTCTGCAGCTTTGTTCCCACCTGATTGCTAAGAAATGCCCCACGCTCTAACTGCAGTCTGATCTAGCCTACAAGGAAACTGTTAAATATTTCACTAGTTCTACTCAACGGCACCAGCAGGCTTACAGCGGGAGTACTATGTTGGGCATAGCAGGCCTGTCTGCTGCTCCATTTGTCAAGGGACTCTATAGCAGGAGTCCTAGGGGAGCCAGGCTATAGGCGTGGGCACAGCCCATGCAGGATAAGTGAGGCCCTGCCCAGGAGATACCCAGCTGTTAGGTAACTATTATGAGTTACATAGCAGGGAAGATCCCATGAACAAGAGGCAAGCACTACACAGCACAGACCATGTTAAGGGCAGTCAGTACTGCCAGCCCATGTACTCTACTCCACTCAAGCTTTGCCCTCCCTACAACTCATTCCTCCCAGGATTTCCTCAAGGGATGATGGAGACAAGATGGATCCTGGGAGTCCTAAGAAGCCAGTGGGCTTGGCCTATATCACCTGGGGGTTCTGGCCTGGAGCAAGGACCCTAAACCTAAGGAAAGACAGTGGAAAGCTACAAGCCCCAACCAGCCAGGTTCTGGAGTGTGACCTTCATCTGATGGAGCTGCCATGTGGCTCCAAATAGCCCCCACATAGCCATGCCAATGGAGGTAGAAGAAAGTGAGGGACCATCAGTTGTTAGTGGGAGCAAAGCTAGGATGTATAACCATGTCCTGTCATCCTAAGCCCCCGCTTTGACCATTGGGGGATCACATCTGTTCCCACAGGAAACACACCAAGGCTCCAAATCAAAAGAATACCCACCTATGAGTAGAAGGGAAGATGACACAGGAGCTGGAATGGGGGAGTGGAAAGGGGTCTCTGGGGTAGGGGTGAGTATGTGAAAGGAGGGGAGAAGAGTCCAAGAACCTCCAGACCCTGTGCTTAACAGTTTATGTAGGGCTTTAGAACTTCATGCCTAGCCCAGCATGCTCCTCCACGGTGGCCTGTAGCATGACCTTGGATGTAATCCCCACCAAGTGTATCAGTCTTCTTATCTAGATGAGGGTCCTAGAAAGGAACCTCATGTGCCAGGCAGGTCACAGACACCCTAGAGCTCTTTATGTCCTGGTTGCATGTGCTAGCCCTCTAGCAGCAGGGCCAACTCCAGCTCCCTGGCTGTCACTGTCATGGAGTCTCTATGTTTTCAAAGCAGCCCCAGAAACCAGATTCAATGATGGTGCTCTACTCTCAGCATATCAGGTTAGGAAGGGTGAATCCCAGGTGATGACAGTAAGAAGGAAGCTTGGAGAAGAACCAGGGCCTCCCAGCCTATAAGCCAACCTTCCTGGAAGGGATCAGGGTAGCCACCCAACAGGCATGCGGCAGGTGCAGAGGCTGGCAGGGATGGCAGAGGGGGCGGGGACAGATTGGTCAAACTCAGCAACCTCCTGCCAAAAGCAGCCAGTTCATCTCTGGATGGCTAGCTCACTTGAGTGCACTCATTTACATCCCTGAGTGGGAATCCCTCTCCTGGCCTCAGGGTTTCCACTCAGCATGTGAATTCCAGCGGCCTCAGTGCAGAAGAAGTCACAGCTCAGGGGAGTCCCTTGACCCCAGCAGCAGTGAAGGTAGGCCTAAGGGACCTGGTCAAGTGACCAAGGTCTCCAACAGGGGTGACAAGGCCCCAGGGTACTATGCTGAAGTTCTGAACTGAAGCCTTCTGCAGGTGTCATGGTTCCCTAACCATCCCTTTCTCAGACTCAGGAGGAGTAAGTGTGACCTGGAAGCCAGGGACCTGGACATGAACTCAGGCTGGGCAAAACCACTATAAATTTACATAACAAAGTAAACATAAACATGACCATCTCTCTCATGATAAAAAAACCAGGCAAGCTGGGATGTCAATTTTGCCTGAATTAGCAGACATGGGAGTTGGAGGGAACCCAAGGTGAGGGCGAGGGAGCATGGGTCTCTCAGCCAGTCAGAGGGGTGAAATGCAGTGTCTGGAGGAGGGTAGCTCTCAGCAGCCATTAGAGGCCCCATCACTGTCTCATAGGAGTGGGATGTGGCCTGTGTGGGCATGTGACTTACAGACCAAGCAATACTGCAAGCTGGAGGGCACCAGTGTCCCTCAGTGGGGAGGTCACTAGAAGCAGAAACATATTCCACAGTGGGAGCATGATGCCTGCTGAGTAAGGCAGCTCAACACCCTTCAGAGAGCTCCACAGAGTGCTGGTAAATGGGGGTCTGTGGCACCTCGACCAGGGGAATCCACAGACCCCCAACACCTGGGAATGGAAAACAGCCTCGTCACCTGGGAAAAACACCATAGCAGTCCCTCAGAAGCATGGGGCCTCCGTGAGACCCAGTGACTCCAAATACAAACAGATGTTTGTGAGAAACTATATTCCCAGGTGTTCTGTTGTTTGTCAGGGCCCCAAAGTGGAACAAACCTAATGTCTATCAATGCATGCACGAATAATCAAATGTGGTCCATCCAAACCCTGGGGCTTGTTTTGCTTATTTTAGGAGTTTGTTGTTGCTGTTTGTTTTTGAGATAGTCTTGTTATGTAGCCATGGCTGGCCCAGTACTTGCCATATAACCCATTCCTGCTTTAGCCTTCCAAGTGCTAGTATTAGACACATGCTATCACTCCAGAAAATTAAGGCTAGAGATACACTTGGGGTTGAATTCAGAGCCTTTCACATGCCAGGCAACCACTCCATTGCTGAGCTCTACCCCCAGACCAAACCACAGGACATTATTCAGCCACAAAAAGGAAAAAAGCCGGATAACAGTGGCCACACACTGTGCCAGTCGTTTTATAGGAAAATGTACAGAATAGGCACACCTGGCCAGTGAAATGGCTCATCAGGTAAAGGCACTTACAGCCAAGCCTGATAGCCTGAGTTTGAATCCTATGGCAGAAGGAAAGAATCAACTCCCACAAATTGTACTCTGACCTCTATACATATGCCATAGCAAGCATAAGAGCATACACAGATGAATAGATAGATGGATGGATGGATGGATGGATGGATGGATGGATGGATGGACGGAGGCATATACGCTGTTTTTGATATGCTGTTTTTGAACTTATGGAGATGTTTGCCTCTGCCTTCCATGTTCTGGGATTGAAGACATACCACCTTGCCCGGAGGAAATTTTTTTTTAATATGCAAAGCCACAGAGATGCAGCAGACCAGCAATGGGCAGAGCTGAGGCTGGGGAATCTACCAGTGACCATTAAAGCACACACAGTCTCTCTTAGGCTGCAGAATATAAAGCATACACTGGAGGCCATTGAGTCAGACTCACACAATGGCCCCCATAATACCACAAGGGTGCTGCTAAGAGGCTGGCATCAAACCAGCCAACCACTGAGGCCTTCATGCTGGTGCCTGGGTCCCAATCTCTCCAGGAGCTGCACAAAGCAAAGGGCTGTCACACTCCCAAGAAGGAGCAACACAGGCATGGGAGAATATCTACCACTGCACGCTGACCTGAAGTCCCTGGAGAGGACAGATTATAAGACCAAAGCTCTGCAAAGGACCTGGCCTGGGAGCAGCCTCTGAGCCACTAGTTTATGGATACTAATACCTACCAGCATGATAACAATGGGCCAACTAGTAACCAACCTCACTTAAGCCTCAAACTATGCCCAGAACAAACACCAACTCATCCATTTTTAAACTGTGTGTACTGAGGGGAGGGCCAAGGGCAAACAGCATCACCTGGTCCCTCTGCAACCAGCGAACCAGTACTCTGCACAGTGTCCTGAGCTAGGGCTAAACCCATGGTAGGGACTTCCCATGATTCCTGACATCCGTGTCCCTGGAGTGGTTTTCGTACAGGGCTCCCTAATTTCGGAAGGCACAAGAGCCTAGGTTCCAGGTCTGACCTTGCCAAGATCTCTGCAGCAGCTGCTCTAAGCTGCAGCCCTGGATGCCAAGCCTACCTCCCAAGTCAACACTTCTCCCGGGACCCACCTGCCTCACAGGGAGTTTCCTACACATCAAAGATGGGCCATCCAACTAGCACCAAGCTCTGGCATGTCCCTTCTTGATCTTCTGCCACCCTTAGGTGCCCACATGCTCCAAACTATACCTTTAAGCTAGTCACCCTAAACAATGAGCTTCAGCACTGTCCCTCCTTTGCAAGGGCTCCTGGTAGCCCCTAAATCCAGATGTTCTGCCTCCAGTTAAGACCCCCATATCCTGCAAGTTCCCTTCCCATTTCTCTAGTTAGCACAATACCTGCACCTTCTGAGCCAGCTCCCGTCTGCCTAAGGTCAACTCACCCACCATGGTACCCTTGGGAAATAAGACACACGCCAGGGACCTTCTCCTTGTGATGTCAAGACAAGCAAGGTAGGATATGCAAATTTTAAGGTCACACACTTAACTGCCTTCTTACTCACCGGGCTTCCAATCTAAAACAATGTTGCCCAAAGTAGCCACAGAAACCTGGCCTAGAAGAATGTGCCACTTTCTATATAACTACCATCAACTAATACCCAAGCCCATGTTGGCCATGAGGGTATTCAACCCTGCATGTGGCCATGGGATTGCCATAACCTCAGAATCTTCTGTCAGTCCCATGCCTGGCTATGTCACCAGCAGGAGGTCCAGGGCTAGCCAGATATCACCAGGTGGTAGGTCACATGGGTTAAGAGCACCTACGGTCTGCATTAACAGGAAATCCTAACTGCAATCTAGCTAGACCCTGCAGCTAGTAAGTGGCCAAGTGAGGCTGTGACTTAGGGTGGCTCTCTTAAGACCCATATAGCACCCTCTTCTCTACACACAACCTCATGGTACCTCAGACACGCCCACACTCAGGTAGGTGGACCCAGGCCCAGTCTAACTCTACAATCCTGACTAGACACACAGATGGGCAGACAGCAACAGCTAGGAGAACAGCCTCTGAATGGTTCCTTTGGCCACTGAACCATAAATCTTGTATTGTGCATGTGTGTATATAGCACACAGGTGTGCATGCATGTGTGTACATATGTGAGTGTGTACGTGATTGTATGTATATATACATGCACGTGCATTTATATGTGTGCATGTGTATATTTCTGTGTACATGTATGTATGCATGTGTAGATGTATGTGTGTGGTGGTGTGTGTGTGTGTGTGTGTGTTTTGGTGCAAGGCAATTCTTGAGCATCCCTGAGATCCTCAGCCCAAAGACTTTCATATCACCCAGACTTGTGGCTTGCACACCTCCACACCAGCACTGGACAAGATACAGTTTTCTGTTCTCTATTGCTCTGTATTGTCACCTAAAAAGGGGGATACACCAAGCTAGATGCATGGTCTACCCCTAGACCAAAAATTGAGGGACTAGCCACGGCCTTTGAACTCTGGCAACAGCACCAACCCAATACACCAGGAAGGTAAATGGTCCTACCCACCTAGCCAGGCAGCATAGGGCACATAGCCTGGCTCTCAGGAGGCAGCACTAGTAAATTATTAATCTTGCCAGGAGCAGTACACAGTCACCATCCTATTATGAAACATTAATAATACAGGAGCTAGGGGAAGGCCGGTGATCGAAGCCACATCTGGAAAGATTACCAGGCTCAGGAGCTGAGAGGGAGAACCAATGGCCATCAAGTACACTCAATGATTCTGGGGTACTAGGGAGGGGGACTGAGTAGAAGTGCACACATAGCCAGCCTGAGACTGAAGAGGCCTGTCCAGATGAAAGGCTGCAAGATACTCACTTGCCCAGCTTGACTCCACACTCCCAGCCAGATGCACCCATGAAATGCAAGCTCTGGAAGGCAGGGACCTTTGGTTTGATCACACCAAAGCCTCGACTGGCTAAGGTTCTCCAGTGATACCTGATACCTGGACAAACAGCTCCTTGCCATTGGCTACCATGTGGGCTAATGAGAGCTCAGCCAGTGGCTGGGTCAGTGACATATATCCTGGCATGGACAGACAAACTGAGTTTACAGACCAGCCTCTCCATGCCCCATCCCCACACCAGTGTTCCTGGGGAGGTCAGGCCAGGCTACAACATTGTGTTTATATGAGAAGTTTCCCAAACACCCAGAAAAAAACAACAAACAAGACAAAGCAATGCAGCCTCTAGACAAAGCTTGGTACAGAAGTCCCACCAAGACAAGGGCCTGTCCCAGTGGGCTCTGCGAATTGTAGTGCACAGGCAACAGGGGACAGAGAACTGGGCCTCTGCATAGGTCTAAACTGCCTGGTCAGGCATGAATCTTCACATGCCCATACTCAGCTTGGCTACCTATGAACTGGGCATAATACCCTTCTTGTCCACATCAGGGGATATAAAAGACTCAGGGACTGGCACATACTCACAGGGTCCCTGAGCTCCTCACTGTCCCGGGGTGAGGGCCGTGGTGTCTTCAGAGGGATCTCGTCTCCACACTCGGTGTCCGAGGCATTTGGAGACTCGGCTAGGTCAAGGAAGTCTTCTCTCTTGTGGCCTCTGAACCTGATCCTATCCAGCCTCCTGAGCATGTTCAGCACGGCACTCCTCGGCCTCACCTGGACATGACGGGAGGGTTCCCTGCAAGAGAGTGGAGCATGTCAGTGGCTGCCCGCTGCCTGTTGCCACCATGTTTGGTTCCAGCTTGTACTGAGGCTGACAGTAAGCACCCAGCTCTACAATAAATGGCCAGATCTCATCAGACCAGCCACTACCCAACCACAAATGACCTGGCCAGTTGCTGAGGTTCCTGCTATACACAGTCCTCACAGAGCAGAAGGAAGCCCTGGTTCTCAGAGGGGTCCTCCTGGCCACACAGAAGGTCCAGTCTGGGTCACCACAGTTTGACAGATTAAGGGTATAGGGACAATTAGAGCTGGGAAGGAAAAGGCTGACCACTCTCCTAAGTGCTAAGAGTTAAGCCTGGAAACTAAGTTACATACTGCCAGGGACAGTACCAAGTTGGGCCCAAGCATCACCTCTGCCTCTGCAGACACCCTGCACAAAAATGGGCAGGAACGGACTCCGTCCATTCTTGTCTGCCCAACTTTCCCCCTTCGCCATCAAACACTGGTTTGGCCTTGGAGACTCAGCTCCTATAACAAAGCCCTCCCAGAAATGGACACAGAAGTTGAGCAAAGGCCTGGTACCATGTCACATTACACTCTGTGTGCCACATACAAAGCTCATGTAAATTAACAGATACTGTGTACCAAAGGATGGACAACCCCTGGGGGCCTGCTCTCCACCCCACTATCCTGGAGAGTCATGGCAACCCTCAAAATCCCCAGGAGGCATGAGGGAAGGGCTGTTTTTCTCCAGTGTCCAGCTGGCCTCATTCCCAGGACGATAGCAGGGCTGACTAGGCAGGAGGGCCCCAGTTTCAACCATACAGCTCCAGGTCTAGGGCTACAGGTCAGGAGCCCACAGGCTGCCCTTGCCAGAGACCCTGCTCTGACATCTTCAAGAACCCTGGGGCCCCAGGGTACAGTACAATGATATGCCAGGGCTCCAACCTGCTCTGCCATTCACCTCCCTTCTGAGCTGAGACTTCTGTCTCTGGAGCAGAAATGATCCCAACCAGGCCAAATTATTCTGGGAATTCAAGATGACACATGCTGAGGGCCTGACCCCAGGCCTGGGCCTAGGCCCAGTCAACCACAAGATTGTTTTCATGCAAGGAAAACCAGGGGAGTGAACTGGGTGGGTTCAGTGCAGCAAGGCGGGAAGAGCTTCCTGTTTGGGGCAGCAGCACGGAAGCCCTCGGTGGACAGATAAATCACAGCCTAGACATAGCCTTGTAACAGACAAGCCTGCCTGCCTCAAGGCTCTGGCTCTTCTTGGCAATCAAGGCCTACGGCAAGACTCACTAATGATGGAACCCATAAGACCTCTGCCAGAACGTATCAGAAATTTCTAGAGAGATGAGGGAGAATAGCTCAGTTGTTAGAAAGAATGCTTGCTTAGCATGGATGGAACCTTGGGTTCAATCCCTGGCACTGTGGTGATACATGCCTGTCATCCTGGCATTTGGGAGATGGAGGCAGGAGGGTCAGAAGTTCAAAGTCATCCTCTGTTACATAGCAAGTTCGAGGCCAACCTGGACTTGATTAGATCCTGTTAGGAAAGAAAGGAAAACAAATCAAAAGAAGCAGGGGTGGGGGGTGGGGGATGGGGGGGGAAGAATTTGTTTTGCTCTGAACTATAGACCAGTGGAGACATGCAGCCTGTCAGAGAGCCTAAGTGCAAACTGGCCCCCAAGGGAAACAGAGCCTAATCAGCTACAGACAGCATGGTGGGTGGGGTAAGCAGTCACTCAGGATGGGAGCACATACCAGCCCCATGGAAACATATCACATATAAGAACTATGAATTTCAGAGGGACCAAAGGGACAAGACATTAGACTCCATAACATACACAGCAAATCACCAGAAAGGAGATAATGGTCTACACTGAGAGATGGCAAGTAGGGATGGCTCAGCATAGTTAAGAGCTCTGGCTGCTCCTCTGAGAGCAGCTTCCAGAACACATATGGTGGATCACAGCCACCTGAAACTCCAGTTTCAGGGGATCAGGTACCCTCTTCTGACCTCTGCAGACACCAGGCACGCACATGGTGTACACACATACATGCAGGAGAAATATTCATATACCTAATATAAAATAAATAAATCTACAAACATTTTTAAAAGAGACTGGAAAATAAATTCACAAAGTAAAAAAGTATACAGACTACTAGACAAATAAAAAACAAAACCAAAAAAAAAAAAAGCTCAAACATTTAAAAGTAAAAGCATACACTATGTAAAAGGCAACACAGGTAGCCTATATGAATGAGAGATTCACATTTTCCAGGGCCACATGACCAAAGGGGGTTGGGAGGGACTACTTCCTAGCTCACACAAAAACTGGATGAGTTACCAAACAGGAAACCAACACACACTAATACTGCAGGCGCTTCAGGATATCTGGAACACAGATATCGGCAAAGCCAGTGGTCCACCTTGTGAGTTGCTGATCCCACCATCAAGTACAAGAGGGAGCGAGCACACTTTGTGTGTGAAAATCCTCACTGCATATCACTGCACCGTGCCATAGCCCTGAGGTCACACTGTGCAAAGAGGTGTGAATAGAGACACAGCTCCACCAGGGTGCTGGCTTAGAGTAACTTCAAGGAGTCTCTCGCCAAATGCCCCACAGTGCCTTCCAATGGCTTTGTTCCAGCAATGTATTTCCTATGGTAAGATTCACACACCATAGGATGTACTAAGTACTTTAAAGAGTGCATTAGGTGATGTTAACTATATCCACCCATCCTAGAATGTTTTGTCTTGTAAAACTGCAACTACCTTCCCTCAATGAACACCAACTCCCCATGCCATTTCTTGGAACTTCAGTGCCTATGGCTTTAACTGAGAAAACTAAGATCAGGGGCTGGGGAGATGACCCAGTGTGTAAGTGGGCTTGCTAACAATCATGAGGACTCAAGTTCAAATTCCTAGCACCCAGGTGAAAAGACAAGCTCAGCCAAATGCACTGGTACTTGTTAGTCTAGTTCTAGTTTTAGTGACAGACCTTGTTTCAAAGAAATAAGGTAGAGTGTGACAGAGGAAGACATTTTATATGTTCTCCTCTGGCTTCTGCACGTGCATGGGTACACATGCAGGCATGTGTGTTCACACATAAATAAAGAGAAAGAAAAAGAAGAAAGGGAGATAGAGAGCAAAGCACGTAGAGGGTTGGCAACCTGACACTGACCTCCTTTCTTCTGGGAATGCCCAGCCCTGTTTCTGCCACTACAGGCTGCAGAGAAGGGAGGGTGGGGAGAGACTACAAGATGCTGAGGCCATGGGCACCTGGATGCAGGAAGGCACACACCTCGGTGGGCACAGGCTATCTAGGGCTGAAGAAGGCAGGAAGCATAGCTTTACAAGGAGCTCTTGGCTCTTTGAGGGCTCCCTCAAGTGGGTTCCCTGTCTTAAGATACTGGAGTTCCTCAGAACTAGGGCCAAGTTCTCCACTAAGCTTCATCAAGCAAATGAAGAGAGGGGACAAAGGCACCCCAACATCCAACCTGCCACCACCCGAATGGAAGGCACACAGTGGGCTGGCTACCCATGGGAGTTCAGGCTCCTAGCCACTTGCTCAGCTCCACACATGGAGTCCTGCTGAGCTGGTCACACTGAAGGGAGGACCAGGAAGTATAGACTCTCCCCAAGCAAGGGCAACGTGAGGACCTCTTCCCGGTCCCACTGCTCTCCTTTATGTACCCCCGAGGTCCCACAAAAAGATGACCTTGTCAGGTTTCAGTGGCAAAGGACCAAAGCTCAAGCCACCACCATAGAGAGGTCCCTTCTGACTTTCCCAGCAAACATGACCCAGCAAGGGACACCTGCCATGCCCATAATGGCATCCCTGCTGGCTAGAACACCTCCCCAGGGTGACCATACCTCAACAACAGCTGCAAAGACCCTATTTCCAGATGGACATGAACTTGGAGGGCACTGTTCAACTACACACACTACCTGGCTTACAGAGGAGGAAGCCTGGACCAAGGCTGCCTGGGGCTGCCCACCCTCCAAAGCTAGGTCTTGACGCAAAAGGTAGAAGCATTGCCCACCAAGCCAACACTGTGCTCAAGTCCCACCTGCTGCCCTGATTTCAACCACCATAAATCCTCCACAGGCCCCTCCGACCTCCCTGTGTACAACTGACCACCACCCCTAGGCCATGGAAGGAAGTGACTCTTCGGCCTATAGCCTGGCTGTTCTCCCTATAGCAGGACCCTCTCATGCATCCACAGCCCTGTGTACCCCAGTCCCCCATGTGCACCCCAGCCCTCCCTGCAGCTACCTCACACCCTTTCCCTTTGTCTTGTCAAATTCTGTGCAGTGGCACTTCCTGGGATGGGACACTTCCTTTGTTGGTTTCCTTGATGCCATTAGGTTCTCAGGTGGCCTCTCCATCCCTCCTCGGACTTTTCCCTAGGCTGCACCAGACTCTGCCTGATCAACTGACCTGGAAGGGAGTGCGCCTTTCTCTTAAGATCAAGACAGTTCACTTGGAACTCAATGCCCCACTTTTAATTCACAGACTCCCTCAACCCAGTGACATACACTCAGAGTGCAACCCCCCATGCCATCAGCTGGGCCATCACTGCACCTCTATCTGGAAGGAGGCGTATTTAAACACACCCCAGCAACAGCTGTTCAGGAGCATGTTTCAAGGTCACAAGTAACTGCCAGCCTCAGAGCTAGGCTTGGCACCAAAGGTTTTGATGATGCAGGTATCTGCAGGCCCTAGCAGGGGAGGACGATGGGTGCTAACCACTCTCTAGGCTCCTCCAGTTCAGGTGGCATCCTGCCAGCTGCCCAGCCCCTCTCTGCAAGCGAGCCCTGGAGTGTTACCGCGCACTGCACTGGCAAGCAGCTGAATGGCTTCCAGACACACAAAGGAGGTAGTGTCTGAGAACCCTGGACTTGGGAACCACAAAGGGCTTTATTTCTCTTTCCAAGCCCGAGACTAAGAAAATAAAAGCGGCTGCCAGTCTCAGCACTTGGCCTGAGAGCAGCCCTGGCTCACCTTCCTCCAGCTGAAGCTCCTCTCTGAATTCAGAGTCTGAGTTTGGATACACGGGTCTGTAACCCACGACCCATAAGCTGAGGCCCAACTACACTCCTCGGCCCTCCTTATCTGGCTGCTGTCCCACAGATCCTGGGATAAACCACATCCTCTTTCCCATTGGACACCAACCCTTGCTCCTGTGTAACAATCCCAGGGGCCCCCAGCTGCTGAGCAAGACTGAGCCACCTGGCCCTCAGCCAAATCTGTCTTCTTGGGAAGGTGGCCCCTAAGCCTCGAGAACATGAAGGGGGGTTAGACTTCCCATGGTCAGGCAACCACATCAGTCAGTGATAGAAAATGCCGTCCACTGAGAATAACAGCCATTACCATCTTCAGCAGAGTAGCTGAGGCTGCTTGCAAGGGACATTTTTGCTGATCTTCCATCACAGAAGAGGGTGGAGAGGGTCGCTAGAGCCTCAGCTCAGATTTCAGCAACTCCTTCCTGCACACACCCCCTAGCTATAATAATTCAGCCCAAGCAGCACCTGATCCTGTGGTCTTGAGAGGTGACAGACATACAGAGCAAGAAAGCCTAATTGAAAGGGGGACTCCTTTTATCATCTGTCATCTATTCTGGGTTCAAGTCCCAGCACCCACATGGCAGCTCATAGGCACCCGTAAAGTCCAGCCCCTGAAAGATCCAGCGTCCTCTTCTGGCTCCTAGAGGTACTGCATGAATGTGATGGACATACACACACGAAGGTAAACACTCATGCACATAAAATAAAAAAGAAAGAAATGACAAGGCCAAGTACATAATGCCTCTGCTTGTGTTCAAGCTTCCAGCTCACAGAGCCTTTTGGTCTAGGTAGATGGGCTGGTTGGTAACTTTGTGTGTGTGTTGGGGTGCTGTTTAGAGGTCATCCACACTCCTGTAGGCAGCAAGCCCTCTCCCATATTCTCAAAGTAAGCCCAATAAACTCATTGGCTGGACTTTTGGTGGAACTGTTATCTTGTTTTGTCATTAGTGGCCTATCTGGGGCTAGTAATATTTGTCTATGTCTCTCCAAAAAAATGTCATGCAGCAACTGGAAGAGAGGTAGGTATAGCAACAGTGGATTCTGAGGTTTTGCATGGTAAATGGGGTCAAGGAACAGTAGGCAAGATAGGTTCTAATTCACATCCCAACCCATATGTTTTGCTGACTGTCCCTGCAGTGACAGACACAGGCACCCCAACACACACAAAAAGCTACCAACCAGCCCATCTCCCGAAGGCATCCCTAAGGCCAGGGGGCCCCTAGGGTACTACCCATACACTTCCATCTGTCCTTGGCCACTGTCATTCCAGCACCAGATGTGGGATGTTGGCTCAGACCTAATGGCCTTCAGGTCTGCCCAAGCTCAAGGAACCACCATCTGGGAACCATCTCCTGCACCCTAGATTCACACCATGGTCCTGTAAGCTGGGCAACCGATGGAAGCCTAAATGCACCTGACTTGGGGACCCTGAATATTAAGCTGGCCTTATTGGAGGAGACATATCATGGGCAGGCTTTGAGATTTCAAAAGCCCAAACCATATGAGCAGGTGGCACATGCCTTTTAACCCAGCACTTTAGATCTCTGTGAGTTGGAGGCCAGCCTTGTTTACATAGTAAGTTCTAAGACAGCCAGAGTTACATAGTGAGACCCTGTCTCAAAAAAATTAAAATTAAATAAAAATATAAAACAAGCAACCAAACCCCACACCATTCCCAGGTATCACTCTCTGCCTGTGGATGAAGATGTAAACCCTCAGCTACTGCTTCAATGCCATCCCGCCTGCTTGCTGCCAAGTGTTCCACGCCATGATGGTCATGGACTAACCCTCTGAAACTGTGACCCCCAAATGAAACACTCCAGGCTCACTACACAGATCCTAGATAGAACCCTTGTGGCTGAGTCACAGTAGGGACTATGATATGTTTAGAAATCCCAGAACTATTCTCACCTTCCCCAGGCCTCCACACTCCCTGAAACCAAGTGGCCTGACTCCAAGGAGAGAACCTTCCTCCAACCCTCTTCACAGCTCCAGCAAAGCAGCTATGGTCAGAATGTCATGGACATGCATAGACACTCCAGGACTTTTATCCTCCAGCCTGAAGGTCAGCATCTCACCTGTTGGTTCCTTCCTCGATTGACAAGAAGCAGAACAAGCTCCCCACATACATCCATCTTCCCCCACATACACCAGATCTCTTTTAGTCCCGGGACACCACACTGAGGCTTGCTACTGCTAATCCAACTGACAGACGGGGAGACTGAGTCTTGAGAATGCAGGCAGGGTAAGAGGTACAATAGCACCAGTATAAATTGATCCCAACACACTCCAGAGCTCCAAGACCAGACATCCTTCCCACTATAACCTTCTACTGAAGTGGAAACCTAGCAGAGCAGCCACACACAGGTTCATTTTAGAAAACAAAGTTTGCAGGAAAACCTATATTTCAGCAGGTAATTAAGGAAAAAAAAACTATTACATAAGTGACTACACTCAGCAACAGGAAACCCACGCAAGAATTCCTCACTAGCGAAGCATTCTTTTCCAAAATCCAACCATCCTCCAAGCAACCAGGACCAGGGAGGATGGAGCCAATGGAGACATGTGGAAGGTGACACCTTCTGCAGTTCCTGGATACAGCCTGTCTCCCTGCCATGGCCCCGGCCCACATTCCAGAAAGCAGACTGTAGCAGCACCCCAGATCTGAAAGCATGCAACTCTCTGCAGGAATAGGGCTCCACAGATGGTGCTGTGGGAAGCTCAGTGGCCAGGTGGGATGGGGGCCATCTAGCCGCTGCCCAGTTATCTGTCACAGTGCCAACAGGCATGGCTGCAAGCCAATAAACATTTACAAAATCAGGTGGGATGCAGGTGGTTACCCACACCTTCCTACTGTCCTACACTGATGCATCTGTGAAGAGTAAGAACTCCCACAAGGGTCCTAGGAGTTACTGACATACTAAATGGCTGGGCAGGGCCAGCAAGAACCTCAGCCCCATGACCAGCACTTAGGTTCCACTTTCGAAAGCCTGAGGAACACACACCCTGAAGGAAAGGAGCAGGGCCAAGTGTGATCTACACAAATGTAACACAAATAATAAAAACCCAGAGACAGGCAGGCCGGTGGTAGCGCACGCCTTTAGTCCCAGCACTTGGGAGGCAGAGGCAGGTGGATCTCTGTGAGTTCGAGACCAGCCTGGTCCACAAGAGCTAGTTCCAGGACAGGCTCCAAAGCTACAGAGAAACCCTGCCTCAAAAAACAAACAAACAAACCAAACAAACAAACAGTGACAAGCCGGCAGTGGTTATGCATGCCTTTAATCCCAGCACTCGGGAGACAGATTAAAGGTGTGTGCAACCAATGCCCATCTTCGATTGCTGTGACTAGCTTTGCATTCTGATCCTTCAGGCAAGCTTTATTAAATCATAAACATCACCATACTGCCCCCTTTGAGAAAGCCCACCAAGCAGTGGCTCCTCCCCCATAGCTGCTCAAGACTACACTAACAGGGTATTTAAGATCTGGTCTCTAGACTTGTCCCATGACTTCTCTCCTGCCTTAACCAAGAGTCTCCCCGGAGTTGCTCTACTCTGTTTATTAATCCCGGTCTTACTAATTTGACTGGACTTGGCTTATTGCAAGGATGGAGAAACCCACAACCAGGGATTTTCAAAATACTTATCAACAAGGGCTAGCACCAGGTGAATGAGGAGACAGGTGGAGTTCAGAGAAGTTCCAGTGAGCCCCTAATTGAACCCGACACCAGTCTTTTTTTTTTGGGGGGGGGGTTCCAAGACAGGGTTTCTTTGTGGCTTTGGAGGCTGTCCTGGAACTAGTTCTTGTAGACCAGGCTGGTCTCGAACTCACAGAGATCCACCTGCCTCTGCCTCCCGAGTACTGGGATTAAAGGTGTGAGCCACCAATGCCCAGCCCGACACCAGTCTTAAACAGCTTCCCAGGTGAAGAGCCTATGAGCCACCAGATGAGGTTCTTCCCCTCCAGTTCCTCCTGCTTTTCTTAGCTTGACTCAGCTGCAGCTAGAGGCCATGCCAGCCCAAGGACTCTTGCAAGGATGGTGCTTAGACCCCACACCCAGATCAAGCCCTGAATATGCACAGGCCCAGCACTGCCAGCATAACTGCTATCAAACGTTATATGTCTAAAACAACACTTGGCAAGATGACTCCCGCCTCTCTGGCAGCTGGAGACCTCTCAGCACCCCTCACTAGTGGTCCCTGCTTTAAAAATCAAGTCCCACTAATAGGAGAAAAACTGAAAAGCAAACTGCAAAGCCCTCCAGGTATGCCTGACACCTAAAGTCCAGGTAAACTGAAAGTTGTATGATGTAATCGGTGCTGGCCTTAAGGCAGAGTCTTCTGGTGGCCTGAGGGCAAGGTGGCAGGAAGACATTGTTCCAGAGAGTGCTGCTGGCTGAGCAGACTGCAGGCACAGCTCCCAGCCAGCCAGAAAATGAAGTGTGTGAGAGGGCCACTGCTCAGGAACACTAAAGACAACCACCTATTCGGTGTTCTGGGTTCACCTACTTGCATCAGGCATGCTGTTGCTTTTTGTTTTCTTTAATTGTTCTTGCTTAAGATAATATCTCATGCAGAAGCTCCAGTTGGTCTGTAAACACTATGTACCCAGGTTAGCTTCAAACTAGCAGCAATCCTCCTGCAGCTGCCTCCAGAGTGCCCAAGATTATAGGCATGAGCTTTGGTACACTTGAGTTTTGGTGATGGGATGTGGACAAGGTGAGGGTGATACTACTGGAGCTGTGAATGCTGGTCTCAATAAGGGGAAGAGTGTTCCTGGCCAGAGGGATAGACAGTGACAGCCCAGGAGGGCCACCTTGCTGAAGGCCAGACTACTGAGGTAACGAGCCAACTCGTGAATATGCAGAGAAGGAGTAGCCAGTGTCCTCTTACCAAAACACACCAGAGAAAGGAGTGGCCAGTGTCCTCTTACCAAAACACACCAGAGAGGAAATGGCAGAGGCAACTTTGTCAAGGATCATCTCACTCCAAGCACAGTGTGGGGCCCCAAGTGACCTGTGACCCACAGAGGAGAGAAGGCAGTGGTTCCCCCAAGTGATCTGTGACCCACAAAGGAGAGAAGGCAGTGAT